CCCCCGTGTCGCGGCCCGGGGCGGCCCCCGGGGGCCCGCCAGCCGGGTCCTGGGAAGAGGCAGAGGGCTGGCTGGCAGCGGGTGGCTGGCTTGAGCCGTGCCAGATGCAGGGTCTGCTGGCTGGGTGCTGGCACACTTGCACCTGGCACGGGCACCGTAGCCAGCCCGTGCCCCTTTAAGGGGTCCGGGACCGGGAGGGGGGCAATAGAGTTTCCCTGGTGTTGGCCAGAGTGGCCACCAGGGAAAGCTGGGGAGAGCTAGCCTCCCACTAGTTCGAATTAAGGGGCTACACACCCCTTAATTCAAACTAGTAAGTTCGAACTAGGCTTAGTCCTCGTAGAATGAGGTTTACCTAGTTCGTAGAATTAAGTTCAAACTAGCGGAGCGCTAGTGTAGCGCCTATCAAAGTTAATTTGAACTAACGTCCGTTAGTTCAAATTAACTTTGTAGTGTAGACATACGCTATGTCGGTTAGTCTAATTTACATTCCTCTGTCAGCAGAGGCATATAGTCTAGACAGCGCCTAAGTGACAGAAAGCTTCCCAGTCCTTCATAGCAAGGTATAATTGGAAGAGGGCAGATTTCCCAAGGAATGTAAGGCGAATTAAAGCCCATTCTATGAATGAAATGGCATCTTCATGAGTGGTTCAGTCCAGCGCAATATATGAACAGTTTTGCAAGGCAGCAATCTTGAGTGTCCCTGAATACATTGGCTAATTTCTGTAAGGCTAATAAACTTCAGTTAGGTGAAGTAGATTCTGGCAGAAGGGTTTTCTAAGATGTGGCTCTTAGCCAGCCCAACAATTGGTAATGATCAGGGTAGGTTTATAGTATTACAAAAATTGCATGACTACTGAATTTATGAAACCATCTCTCAAAGCGAGAATGAGGAAATCTATTACACTTACCTGGAAATTTTTGTTCTGGGTAGAGAGATGGGTCCATAAATTCCTCTCACCCTCTATATTTTCATCTCTTTCTTTTTGGAGGAGATTGCTCAGTAATGTTGTATTGTCTCTCTTTTTAGGGAGAACTGATGGATGACAATACTCTTACATTTCATCAACAACCATTGGGGCTTAACCCATTTTATGTGCTTTTGTTAGATTAGACCAGTAGTCTCCAACCTTTGTAATCACAAGATCACTTTTGAATTTAATTGCAATCCAAGATTTACCTCAAACCCAAATACAGTTGCCCTGCCTCCTTTGTGTGCTTTCTCTGAGGCCCCACCCCTACTCACTCTGTCCTTCCTCCCTCCCCCATTCTCCCTCACTTTCACCAGGCTGGGGCAGAGGTTTGGACTGCAGGTTTTGGTCTTGGGTTAAGGGATTTGGAGAGTGAGGGGAGCTCTGAGCTGAGCTTGTGGAAGGCAGTTGGGTTGCTGGAGGGTGTTCTAGGTGCCGTCTCTGGGAGGGCATTTGGATGCAGGGGTGCTTAGGGCTAAGACAGGAGCTTGTGGTGCAGGAGGGGATTTATGATGGGATAGGGTTTCAGGATGTGGGCTCCAGATGGGCATTGCTTATCTCAGGTGGCTCCTGGGTGGTGGTGCATTGGTGCTAAAGCAGGCTTATCCCTGACCTGGCCCTTGAGCACTCCCAAAAGCAGCCAGCAAACTCCATCCCAAGTCCTGTTGTGCCACGTCTCTGCTCTAGTAAGGATACAGAGCGGGAGAGGGGGGCACCTTGACATCAGCACCCCTCTTCCACCTTCCCTGCAGAAAGCAAGAGGCTCCTGAGGGGACAGCTCCAAGGCAAAGGGCAGGTGATATGCAGCAGTGGGGGAAGGGGCAGCTGAAGTGCTGGCACTTGATAGCCTCTTGGTCAAACCAGTTAGGATTCCGTCAGAGCTTACAAGATCTACCAGTAGATCCCGATCTACTGGTTGGTGACCACTGAATTAAACAGTTCTCCTTCTTAGTTGTTGGACAGATTTTTGCTATGTGCAAAAGTGTTTTATTTACCTATGATAACAGCTTTGGAAGAAGCTTTCTGGAGGGGCTAGTCTGTGTAAAAAGTTAGCTAGAAAGTAAATTCAGTCAATCAAAACACCTGACTCCACCTCCAATAACATGGAGACTATAGAACCCATCACTGTTGAATGTATGGATCCATATCTCTACCCAGAATGACATACTCTGGATAAGTGAAGCAAAATTTCTCACTCCACTATTCTACTTCTTTAATTTGCTTAAAGAACCATAGTGTCTAAGACTTAGAGAGAGTTCTGGGGTATCTGCAGTTGAGGAAAATGCTGTGCAGGCAATATCCTGGCACCCACATTAATTTGCTGATCTTTGTCCATGGTTTGATAATCTATCCTTGCATAGTGCAGGATAGCATTGTTTCCTTTTGGTTTGAGATACATTTTACAGTATTCTTGGTAGAAAGTGGTTTTTACATTTAAGCTTCACATATTAAAATCTCAGTAAAATGACAATACAGGCAGTCCCCGACTTACGTGGATCCGACTTACGTCGGATCCCTAGATACGAACGGGGCGAGGCAACTCCCGCACATGCGCAGCAGCATTCCCGGGGCTCGCTCACCTGGGTCCTAGGATCCTCCTCCTCCTCGGGCCAGCTCCGACTGGGGTCCCGCAGAGCTGCCGGGCAGAGGAAAAGTGCCTCCCCCTGCCCGCTCCCGCCCCCCCCCCGCGGCCTCGCATCCTGCACGCCTTCCCCCTCCCCCCCTGCCAGCAACAGGCTGCCCCCTCCCCTGAGCAACAGGCTGGCGAACAGCAGACAAAAGCAGCCTCTCCGCCCCTCCTCCCCCTATACATGCTGGGCTCCCTGGGCAAACAAAGACTCCACCAAAACAAACAAAGTGCTGGCCTCATTGTGTTAGCAAAAAAAGGACCCTCCTCCTAGAACCCTGGGTGGTGTGTGGAAATAAAGCTATTAGCTCAAAGCATGGTGCAGAGCTGTTTGGTATTTGATGAGTTACTCTTTTAGTCCTGAGTTTGTCACAGGGACAGAAATAGATGTGAAATCTTCTGAACAGGGGAACAGACAGCAAAACAAACATTAGAGGGGAGTTAACCTTTCCCTATGCTATCCAAAACTAAAAAAAAATGTTTGGCTAGAGTTTCCCCTACAATATGTACCAGTTCCGACTTACATACAAATTCAACTTAAGAACAAACCTACAGTCCCTATCTTGTACGTAACCCGGGGACTGCCTGTATATAGAAGAGATTTTGCTTTACTATTGGCACATCTACAGAAGGACTTACTGTGCAGTAAGCTTTACTATTGGCACATCTACAGAAGGACTTACTGTGGTGTAAATTTATAGCACTAAGTGTCTAAGGGTACTAAAACTTTCCCCGAATACATTGATGTGCTGTGATTTGAAGCAGCAGTATGTGAAAGGAACTAGGGAACTTTTACTGTGCATCAGCAGGGTCTACCCAGACCTGCATGGCCTACTGGAATGCTATAGATTTATATCTCCAGTTTATGAATACTGTCCATTTAGACCTACTACAATATTCCTGCAGATGCTTTACATTTACAGGCAGTCCCCGGGTTACGTACAAGATAGGGACTGTAGGTTTGTTCTTAAGTTGAATTTGTATGTAAGTCGGAACTGGTACATATTGTAGGGGAAACTCTAGCCAAACATTTCTCCAGAGCTCAGTTTTATTCTCCCACACCTCACTTCCCTCAGCCCTTTATTCTCAAGCTGAAGTGTCTGCTGAGAAAAGC